TTGCTCTGAGCCAGACTCATCGTCAGCCTGTTCTTATATTAAATAAACTACGTTTACTACACAGCATGTGTACAATGATTTTGTTACTCAGAACGTTACTACTCATACAAATAATATTACTAATAACAATAATGACAATAAAACAGCAGCAGCATGACTTCTCTCCATGACAGAGACAGACCTTCTGCTGCTGCTGCTCCTCGTCTCCTGATTGGTTGAAGCCCGCGTCAAAGCTTCAAAAGCTCAGCTTTGCTCAGCTTCGGCGTCAGAGGGATTGTTTTGATACGCAAGCGTTTCGCGCGTCAAAAGCTTCAAGTGAGCGCGTATGACGCGCAACTCTTGAAGCTTTTGACGCGCGTCAAGTGACGCCGGGGCTCTCGGCTTCACCTGACGTGCTTCACCATTCACTTTCAATGCAAACCTGACGCTTTTGACGCCGAAGTTAAGTCCGGTGTGAACGCCCCTTTAGACAATTACAAATATTTGTTTACATTGGAGTAAACTTTTAAAATGCTTTTTTCTCATGTTCTGCTTTTTCATGTATCTATATGTAAATGTGAATGTGTGAGTGTATGATTGTGTTTGTGTGTGTGTGTGTGTGTGTGAATTTTGGGGTTGTGTCTCCAGACTCCTCGAACCACCTGTAGGTCTCAAAGGTCACACTGTGGTGATGCAAACCAACTGGACACACTTTCAACTCGCATTCATGTTTCTCCCTGATGCTCCACCCATCACGTCTCCAGACACCTCTCTCTACCCTGGTCTCTCACACTCACTCGGTTCTGGAGTGGTGTGGGGAGGGGCAAGGAGGTGGCATTTTCCTTTGCTCTTTGATCTGTGACCTGTGCCTGGGTGGGCGTTGCTGGGCTCCTGTGGTCTGAGTTCTCAGTGTCCACTCCATAATCAGTCCAGTGACCCTGTACAGTGTGTGCCCTTGGTCCTGGAACACAACCTTATAGTCAAATTCAAAACAACAGATATCAGTTTGTGAATGAGATAGTTTTTCTCTCTAAAGTCTAAACAATTTTGGAGCGCTCTTGGCTTTCCAACATGCGCTATATAAATCAAGATTACTTATTATCTTACTAATGATGACATTTTAAGACCAGAAGCTTTCTTAATAAAAAACAAGACACACACAGTTGTGTTTTAGCAAAAATGCAAAAACAGAAAGAAGAAGAACTTTCAAGATAACTTTTTAAGCTAATATAACTGATGTTGTAGTTTATACTTTTGTCATCCAAGTCTAGAAGTGATCACTTTCCACACTTGTAACAAAAGGCACTCTTGTCTTTAACGTTTACGCTTCTATTTTATCGAGGTTGCAAACTAATTTAAACTCTCTTTCTAAATTTCAAAATCTCTTTCTAAAAAACAAAACAAACTGTTGGATACAACCCTCTCATAGCTCAACTGTAGATAAAACTCGGCAAAAAATGTAAATAACTCTCAAAAGCTCTCATAGCTCATAAAACTCATTCATTCGGTGAACCAAAAAACAATCTAATAAACAAAAACTCCCTTTTTCTGTATATAATTTAAACCGTGATCACTGAATGTAACATATTGTTGCTTATGTACTTTTGTCATTTATCAGCCTGAAATTCGTCAATTTCAAAGCTTTTGTAACAAAGGCCTCTTTTTCACATTTCCCTTTTTATTGGGCTTTTATTTTTACACCATGGTTTTAGACAATTATTCACAAAGACCCAAAACAATGCTTAAATTTATAAAATGCCTCTATCCAACGTCAGTCCATCCTGCCAGCCAACGCCACGTTTGTAATGGTCGAGACTATGAATTTGGGAAGTTAGCCTAATTAAATAGAATATTATTAGCAACGCCACCCAGTATACGGGGACTGGGACCCGTTAAGGACAGAAATAATAAAGGGCACACAGATTCGTGGACTGATAGGAATAGGAGGCAATATAGTACAAAAACACAATTTATTTGACAGTTTTTTTAAAGGACAGATCATTCAACGACGCCGGAATCTCCACTCTCACTGTAAAATGTGACTCAGTTATTATTCGTTGGCCACACTAGGGGCCCATTGCTCCAACCAGCAGCAGCGATCCCGCAGCAGCACCCGCCAGGCCCAAAGGCCTCCGAAGAACCCACGCGCCTCCGTGACCCCGCACTGAGGCCCGTAAGGCGCGCGTGATTATAGTCTGTGGTAGCAGTGAGGGTGGTGCGTTTCTCCAGGTTCCAGAAGGGGAGACCCGCGCAGAGCTAAATGAAATAATAAAATTTGATATGAATTAAAATAATAAACCTATATGAGTGGTGCAGTATACCCACATGCAGCACTCTAAGGATCCCGCGCACAAGCCACTAGGAGCCACAGAGGCCCGAGACGCGCACATACAAAGCCTAGACAGGATATATATTTATAGGTGACAATAAGAACTAGATTTATTTTAAATGCTTACCAGTACTAGAACAGGATTGCGTCTGCAGTAAAGGGTGCCTGCCCGTGTCCCTAAGAACAACTAAATTTCAATAACGACTCAAAACAAAGTTAGAAAGCCGGCTCTAACACTCACCAAGAGATCAGGGCGCTGCACCTGTGGAGGGGTTGCGCAATCGCCACGCTCTGTCCCTACTCCACAGCTGTGCCGGGATCATGGACAATCTAAAAGAAACTACATTAAGATATTGTGCCAAATAAAGCCACAAGGCCGGCCGCAAGCACTCACCGGAACGCAGTTTGAAATCAGCGTGCCCGCTGGGGCACAAAGCCGGTGTAGGGGCTGGATCCAAAGCAAACAGGTGCTTTGGACGCCACCAGCGAGCAGCGTCCCGACGTCAGAGGCGAGGCAAAACAGGAGTGCATGGGAAAGGGCTGTCCTTAAATACTGCGAGCCAGAGCGCTGATAGGAGCGCTCACGAAAAACAGGTGTACCACCACACGAAGAAGCGAGACAGACGTACAACAAAACAGCAGACATGGCCAAAGAAAATTCAGTTGTTTCTTTACAACTCAATCCTTTCACGAGACGTTCACTGGAGGAAAAAAAAAGGATTAAGGAGCTTGGACCAGAGAAACCCGGCTTACAGATACAGCAGCAGGCAAGTGACCGTGGGCGAAGTTACACCCGAGGCTTCTCCGGTCTGTGTTATGCTAAACACAGTTGGCTCGCTGGATGCGAAGTAAGCAATGCTCTTTTTTGCTTTCCCTGCTTGCTTTTTCAAAGTGTTGGCACGAAAGTGTTGTGGACAACAACAGGGGTCAGAGACCTGAAACATCTCTCTGAAAAATGCAAACGGCATGAAAGTAGCCATTGCCACATTGACAACAGTATGAAGCTACAGTTTTTTGGTCGCGTTAGCATTGCTGAACAATTAGACGAGGGCTACAGATTCAGATTCAGATTCATTTATTTGCCATTTGCAGTAAAACCACATAGGAAAAACTGTGCAAGACTACCCCGGTGTGCACCAGACAGAGAAGACGACACACACCAGAGCTCTTGCCACGGCGCCATCTTAACGGCGCCATCTTAACGGCGCCATCTTAACGGCGCCATGCGACAAACAGTAGAATAAACAGCAGAGAGCAATAACATACAGTTTCACAGACAGTTGGATAGACACATTGTGCTTTGTATAAACCACGGATTTTTTTCTCGGGATGAGCACCCACGGCTGGCCCAATGTGGCTGTCAGAGGGGGGCGGGGTCAGGGAGGGGGTGAGTCGGAAACACAATGAGGAGTAGAGGGGAGGGAGGGAGCAAGATGGATAGGTAGAGGGAGGCGGGGGAACGGGATCCTTGCTGGAGACTGAAATAGTGTGAGATTGTTGTAGATTGTGGGACCTTGTTATTATGGCCTTGGCCGAGGAATGTGAGATAAGAGTGGAGAGAAGACACAGCAGGAGAAAAACGCATCGCCTGAGGGGGACAATATTGTATGCAATGTAGCAGTCAAAAGCAGGCAGATATTCTATTAAATCCAATTAATCCGAATTGCGGCGCCCTCAGACCTCCGTACACAGGGGCAAATCCAAGCCGGGTCAGAGAGTTCAAGCCTGACACACGATGTCATTCAATCTCAACTCCAAAGTTTTATTCCCTTCGAGTGAACGAGCTGCGAGGTCTTTTATCAACTGTTCCACCAAAACCACTCTCCTTTGTCCAGACACGGCACTCTCAACAACGACTCGGCTAAGCTCCTTGTACATCCCATCAATTTTGTCGGCCAGCAGGTCGTGAATCTTGCGACCTGCCATGCCTCAGAATTTGCGATAGAAGAGAACCGCTCCAAACCCAAACAGGAGGATCCCCACCACCAAAATGCCAAAGATATATACGTCTTCCGAATCTTCAATAGACAGGGTCGACAGACAGAGGGGCCGAAACTTGTTCCAGCTGTCAAGAGTATATCCCGCCGGTGAAGTCCCGTCCGGGCACACGGGCTCTCCAGACCCACGCTTACGTGTTGAAAAGATAGAATCAATTGCGCTGAGGGACCAGTTAATCATTTCCATTCTTGTTAAAGTTGTCTGTGGCAAAACTCCAGGAAAAAGACAAAAACAGGAGATAGCAAGCAGTCAGAAGTAGGAGGGGTCTGAGACACGTCTTTGCTCGACGGAGGCGGAAGAGAAGAGTTGGCATTAGAAGGCACAATGAAGAGGTGACAAAAAATCGTCATGTTCTGTCCAGGATAATCGACTGTGTGAAATTCTGTGGGGCCTTTTGAGTTGGCTTTACGTGGCCACGATGAGAGTGAGAGCTCTGTGAACCTTGGGATATTTCGTGGATTGGTCGATTTTGTTGCCTCTCTGGATGGAGCTTTGAAAGAGCACCTTGAGACTGCCACTGTTTTCAAGGGTACTTCCAAAACTGTCCAAAATGAACTCTCGGACTGTATGTTGTCTGTTGCAAGAGAGCAAATCATTGAAGAAGCTCAAAAGAGTGTTTTTGTATCAATCCAGGCAGATGAGACAACAGATATTTCAACACAGTCCTAACTTGTGCTTGTACTACGCTACATTGATGACAAGCACAGTGTGCAGGAAAGATTTTTTTGAGTTCATTCCTCTGCAGTCAGCTACATCTGAGTCCATTGCTGCTGCATTATCAGAGCGTCTTGCTGCCATCATTCCTGAGGATCAGAAAAGCAAGCTAATCTGCCAGGTGTATGATGGAGCCAGTGTGATGAGGGGTGCCAATGCAGGTGTTCAGAGGAAGATCAAAGATGTGTACCCAAATGCCCATTATTTCCACTGCTATGCACACCAACTCAACCTGATCATGCAACAGGCCACCTCTCACATTTCCAAGGTGAGAATTTTTTTTTCTGACCTGGGTGGATTTGCAAGCTTTTTTTCCTGGTCACCCAAGCGTACGGCTGTCCTTGATAAAACGGTGGCCCGTAGACTGCCAACATCCAGCAATGTCTGATGGAACTTTCACAGCCGAGCCATCAACACTGTGTTTGAGCAGAGAGATGATCTCATTCAATGTTTTGAGAACATACGAGATTCGGGTGATTTTGACTCCAACACCATCAGAGAGGCAGGAGCCATGGCCATGCTGCTGGAACATCAGGACTTTAAGTTCTTCCTTGAACTTTTTCACCACATCATGCCACTTGTGGACCTCCTCTATGCCAAGCTCCAGAAGAAGAACATAGATGCAGTCCACATCAAAGGGAGCATCCAGCAGTTTGAACAGGACATACAAAACATAAGGTAATATGTCAATAATATAATTATCACATTTTTAATTGTTATCTCTTTTCAACTTTTTGATCATTATTATGACTTCTTCTTCACAGAAATTCTCTCCATTCCATGAGTGAGCAAAGCAGTGGCTCTCTGACAGCAAAACGGCGTCAAGTACTCAGTTCAGAGGATCGTCAGAGTGCTGCAGAAGAGGTGAGTTTATGTTGTAGAAATCTGTCATAGTTTATGAAATAGCTATTTAAATACCATTTTAAATATGTCATGTTACAGAGATGATTTAGTTCATCTCCTAATCACAATTAACCTAAATCAGGGGTGTCAAACTTATTTTGGTTGAGGGCCGAATAAAAAATGAAAGGGCTGGTCAGGGGCCGAAAGAATAAGTGGGTTTCATTTATTATACTTTTTTATAATATGAAGGTATCTATATAAATGACTTCACATTTGTTAGATTGGATATTCTTTTCTGATTAGAATTAGTTCAGTTCCTGTGGACTGAACCAAAACTGGACCAAATATCTAAGATATATGGGAAGATTTTCTACTTCCGGGTGGATCATCAAGACTATTGGTCCTCCCAACTGTCAATCATTCTGGTGATTCGTGCTCATCAAATAAGACCAGACAGTTTTGTTCAAAACGTGGAGAGGGCGGTTCTTTCCTAAGAAAATTGGGAAATCCTCCTTCATATCTTTAAGAAGAAATGTAATTGAATACTAACTTCTAATTACATTGTAGCTTAACATTTCTTATGGAATTAAGTTTTATGGTTGTTAGTAATGGATAACATGCCATTCACAACCATCAATGCTGATATTTAATTTAATAATTTGAAATCATCTCAGGGGCCACTGGAAATTGTCTGGCGGGCCGGATCTGGCCCCCGGGCCTTGACTTTGACACCTATGACCTAAATGTTTAATGAAAATAATAAAAATCATATCACAATTGCAGTTGTCAATAATAGCAAGATGTTTTTTTCAAAACCATGCAGCAACAGAGGGTAACAATGTCAACAAAAGTAAATTAATTTAATATCTACTTTTTCTCTCTGTTTTTGTATTCTCTCTGTAGATCTGCAACACCATTCTGAGACACACCAGGGAGCGCTTCAACTTCACCGACCATCTTGTCTGTGCCACCTTGTTGCAGGGGGACAGGTTTGAGGAACATCACGGGTCATTTCCCGAAGAGGTGCTGCAAAGCACTTTGAAGGCCTACCCAATGCTGAATGGAAGCAAGCTCAAGACAGAGCTCAGTCTCATCTACAGCAAAGCAGAGTTCAGAGCCTGTTGTGGTGCAGTGGACCTGTTCCAGCTGTTCATGGAGAACAATCTTCAAGATGTTTTTTTCAGAAACGGTCACTCTTTTAAAGATCCTTATTACCACACCTATGACCACAGCTGAAGCAGAGAGGTGCTTCTCAACCTTAAAAAGGGTGAAAACTTTTCTGAGAAACACCATGACCCAGGAAAGGCTGAATGCCCTGGCCATGCTCTCAATGGAAAAGAGACTAATCTGTCAAATGACCAATTTCAATCAGAGAGTCATTGAAAGATTTGCTGGCCTGAAAGAGAGGAGAGCAAAATTTATGTTCAAGTAGTTTGTTGTTGTAAATAGTTTGTTGTTGTGAATAGTTTATTGTTGCCAGTAGTTTAATTTTGTAAATAGTTTTATTGTTGTACATAGTTTATTGTTGCCATTAGATTAATGTTATAAATAGTTTAATGTTATAAATAGTTTATTGTTATAAATAGATTTATTGTTGCTAGTAGTTTAATGTTATAAATAGCTTAATGTTATAAATAGTTTTATTGTAAATAGTTTATTGTTGCTAGTAGTTTAATGTTATAGTTTATTGTTGTAAATAGTTTATTGTTGTAAATAGTTTATCCATCACTAAATCTGTTAACCTTTCACCTGTCTGCCTCCTTCCATTCCTCCCTGCCTTTGGGTCCCCATCGACACACCACCGTGACAGCAAGTAGTTTATTGTTACCAGTGCGCCCCCCCCCAAATTTTTTTATCACCAGCCACCACTGTTGAGCAACTGTCCAGTGCTGCTTCTCTGTAGCCCAGGTCTGGCGCTTCTGCCGCTGTTTCTGGTTGTTGTTTCTGTAGCCCATTTCCTGCACACGCCTGTGCACAATGGCTGTGGATTTTTCTGCCGATTTTTGTCTGCCGATTCCAGACCTTGCCATCCTACTGGAGACCATCCTCCTCAAGGTCTGGGGTCACCTCTTGGGGGGGCTTGTGCAGCGTTTTCTGCCACAGTTTTTCCTTCCCACAGACTTCCCACTGAGGTGCCTTGATGGTCCGTGTACTTTTGCGTTCAATACATTTTCTATTTTTAAAGGGAAATGGAAAATCAAAAAAAGTCTATATTGCATTTTCAGGCACACGGCTATACAAAAATGACCATTTTGGTTTTTTTCATTGTTTATAAGACATATGATATAATAACCGGATTTGGGAACTAGAAAATGCAATAATAAACCTTTTTTTAATATGTATTTAATACATTTCGGCGTCAATTGATTACCCGGAAGTGAAACAAGTTTGTTTACTTCAGCCCTATTCGCTCTAATTTAGTATAATTTAAAGCTGCACTAACTGACTTTGGGATTTTGAAGCAGCAGACTCGCTGGCCTCGCTCTTTCTGCTCCCCTCCCCGCACCCACGAAGCTATCGCCCCCCACACACACCCACTGTTGGGACGAAGCTAGCGTCTTCCAATATGGATAAACCATGGATATGGATTTGCACGTGGATGCCGTGACCATAGAACGATAGAACCGGGAAGCGCAGAGGAACGAGACTTTCTTTTGGATGGCTGTCTTGCTGTGTAAGCAGTAACCGGTGATGAAGAGACGAAGCTTCAGGTTAGCTCCTCGTCTTGTTGTGCTAACTCAGCCGTCTATGCTAACGGAGACCTGTAGATTTCTCACAAAAGTGGGGGCCAGTGGTCCGCGGTGATTGGTCACAATCTGCGACCCGAAACACATTCTCTTCCTTGTTTCATCAAAACTCAATCTAAAATATAATGTCACGCCAGCACAAATCTGCGCTACTTTTTTGTCAAAAGGACGTATATCCCAATGCCCTACACGGACATGGATAGCATTTTCGTAATGAATACAAAAATAAAGTCAGTTAGTGCAGCTTTAATACGCAAATGACCTCCGGTATTTGTCCAAACACAGACGTCCTGTGATAATACTAATCCTGTGAGAATCTGCATGTCAGTGACTGTGATTGCGATTGCCGCTTTCTCTGTACTTTCTGCGTTGTTTTTGTCAATGAGCAGAGGAGCATCTGTGAACACCTGCAGAGTTGCGGCTGCTGCTGTCTCTGTGAGGTCTATGGAGAAGTGTAGAGGACAGTGTAACGTCTTCACTGACAATAAATGATCAGACCGATGGGTTGTGTTTGTACATTTACTTTGCATTCTGTCCTAAACTTACAGACGTGTTGCTGCAGGCGTTACTATTACGCACCACATAATATGCTAAGATACTTCGCATAATATGAGGTGCGTTCACGAGTAGTCCATACAAACTATTATTAAACATTACAGACAGTATGGGCCAGAGAACTGTAGAGCAGTATAATGTTTGTCCTCATGGTTTGTGGCTGCTGTGGTCCATAGACTGTATATATTTACTGTGGTCAGACGCGACTCTCTGGACTGCGTGAAGCGAGGAGACCCGTGCACGTGCAGCCGCTATGTGAGATGTCAGAGAAAATAGAATTTTCCAGATATTGCTTATCCCGTGTGAATGCACTGCAAAATCTCCACAGGTTGTTCACTTCCGGGTAATCGATTGACGCCGAAATGTATTAAATACGAAATAAAAAAAGGTTAATTATTGCATTTTCTAGTTCCCAAATCCGGTTATTATAATATATATATGTCTTATAAGCAATGAAAAAAAACCAAAATGGTAATTTTTGTGTATTGCTGTGTGCCTGAAAATGCAAAATAGCCTTTTTTCGATTTTCCATTTCCCTTTAAAAATAGAAAATGTATTGAACGCAAAACTACACGAACCCAGCACTCTGGGAACAGCCATATTTACTCAGAAATGTCTTTCTGTGTCTTACCCTCTTGCTTGAGGGGGTCAATGATGGCCTTCTAGATGGCAGTCAGGTAGTCTTACCTATGATTGCAGTTTTGAGTATTGAACCAGGCCGGGAATTTTTAAAAGCCTCAGGAATCTTCTGCAAGTGTTTAGAGTTAAAGTGATAGTCTGTAACTCTAAATGAATTACAAATTTTTGGAAATGTGTTAAATTGACCTCCTGGCCTTAAATGTTGATATAAAATAAGTCATTTTATTAATTCTAATATTACGGGCAAGTCCCGCCTTCCCTTCTCTTAGCTATAGTTCAGAATCCACGTGCCGTCGAGGTTAACCAATCGAGTCATGCCATGGGCTGTCAATCATTGGCGCTGATGCTCGCAGCTGCGCGCATGCTCAGTTGTTTTTTTTTCACGGAACCTCCGAATCAAGCCTCTATTAGGCTCTGTAACTACATGAAAACTGAATAAAGAATTCTGAACATCTGCGCTGAGGTACTCATTTATATACTGAACCTATATCCATAATCAGATCTTCTGCAGATGTGTCCTATAATGTGCAATTCATGATAATAGCTTGTTCCGGGTTTGCCGCGATCGTTTTTTGTGTGCATTTAAACATTACTTTTTTCATTAAAACGTTCCCAAAAAATTCTGAAAACCTCCTTGCATGTGTATTAATAATGTACATGTATAATGTGTTCTCTGATTAACATTTAAAAGTGTTACGGAAACGTAGGCGTAGACCAATCAGAAAGGAAGCGGGAGGAAGCCTGCGTCGTTTTTTTTTTTCAAATCAAGCACCTCTCAGTCTCTCTTTCTGACGAACTCCAGACAATCACTTAAATTTGTTGGTTCAGATGATTAGGTTAATGGCTCGTTTAGAGTACCTTTTCATGATTTGCTCATTTTCTGAGATGGGGATTTTTTGGGCTATGCTCACACTTAGAGCAGCCGTCCTCCTGTGGACTCACCACCTGCAGAGGGTCAGTGAGGGGCTGGTGCTATGAGACTTGGGTGGCATCTCTGATTGCCACCCCCCTGACCCAGAAATGGATTAAAGGGTAGAAAATGGATGGATGGATGGGATTTTTTGGTTTTTCTTTACTTTTTTTGCCAAATTCATCAATATCAAAACAATAAAGGCTTGGACTACTTCACTTGTGTGTGTAATGAAAGTCTAATGTTTATCAGTACATTATAGAAAATAATGAACTTTATCACAATATACAAATTTTTTTTAGAAGGACCTGTATATATAATATATAGCAAATTTTTAAAAAAAAGTTTCCAAAGTGCTGCACAGAGAAAAAATGACACCCTCAAATATACAGGTTTGTCAGCTTCATATGTTTAAAAATAATACAAAAATAGAAAAAGTAAAACATGTAGGTAGTAAAATCAATGAAAATGTAATAAAAACAATAAATTACCCGTTATCCAATTTAAATATAAAAGTAAAACTAAAAACAATATAATGAATAAAACAGAGGACCACACAACTCACGCGGTGTTAAAAGCCAGAGAATAATAATGCGTCTTAAGATGATACTTAGAACATTCCAACGAGGTAGCTGTCTTAACGTGAGAGAAGGTCCTGTCCCCCTGGGTTTTAAGTTTCGGCACCACGAGCTGGAGCTGGCCTTCGGATGAGGTCCGAGATGTAAGGAGGGGCCAGTCCATTCTTGCTTTAAACAATATCTTCAAATCAATTCTAAAATTAACAGGAAGCCAGTGCAAAGAAAACAATGACAAAAGGGGACAGTTATACAGTACTATGACTGTTTACGTATATGACTATCGACAGAATTAGGGCTGCAACAACGAATCGATAATATCGATAAAAATTGATTATTAAAAGCGTTGGCAACAAATTTGGTTATCGATTCGTTGTGTCGCGCGATTAATACGTCACCGAGCGCGCGAGTTGGGCGCATTCTTGTAGTTCTATGGTTGAGTGGACGGACGCACATGCACCACAGAACTACACAACACCGCATGCACACTGCCGTAAAACTCCACAGAAGGTGTGGCGAAGGTGGTCATACAGTCTATGGTGGAAGCAATTATTCGAGCAAGACCGCGTTGAACCAGTGCAGAATAGCGACGCAAAGGGTGCGTGCGAGTGTTGTACCGCACTAACTTTGGACAGAGTCAGTGGAAACAGTGTTTCTCAGGGTCAGGGCTGTCATTGGGAGGTTTGGAGACAGGTTAGATTTGCGGAGAACAAGCCTGGAACTCCAGCCTCTGCTTGTCTCCGGTAAAATCTCCGCAAATAGTGCCTCCCATAGATGTATTTTTGTGCCTCCCGCCATCACCGTGACAGTAACGTGTTGAGAAGCTTTTGTCTGGTGTTAGACGAGAGAGAGGGCAGGGGAGAGGAGAGAGAGAGCGGGGGAGATGAGAGAGAGAGCGGGGGAGACAAGAGAGAGGGCAGGGGAGAGGAGAGAGAGAGCGGGGGAGACGAGAGAGATATGCGGGGGAGACGAGAGAGAGATGCGGAGGAGACGAGAGAGAGGGCAGGGGAGACAAGAGAGAGGGCAGGGGAGACGAGAGAGAGCGCGGGGGAGACGAAAGAGAACAGGGACGAGAGAGCAGGGGAGACACATTTTATGAAAATTCTAAAATCCACAATTTCCAACGCCATATGACGTCATAATATGCTAATTAGATGGGTACAATTATTCCCTACATAACTTTTGGCCATCCTTAATAATTCTGTAATTTACAGAAAGTCTTTATCTCCTATCACTTTTAAGTTACAGCCTTTTGAATTGAAATTTTCAAAAATGTTTTTGAGTATATGCACTCAACAACGTACAATTACCCTAAAAATTACTTACACAAACGCGTCTTGTCTGTAATTGCTCTTTGGGTTAAACAACAATACCTGTTTTTGTGCAAAGCAAAGGAAGGTTTCTCACCCATCATCTGTACTTCTTAGCAAGTTTTCCCCAGTTGTTTTTGTGCACTTTACTTTATACTGCATAGCATACATTTGTATGTTTCTTTGTGTTGAGCCAAGGCCACGGTTTTTTAATAACAGGATGGAAACTAAAAATGCTTTATTTATCCGATTAATCGATTATTCAAAGAAATAATTGACAGATTAATCGATTATTAAAATAATTGTGAGTTGCAGCTCTAGACAGAATAAATAGTCAGGGAACATGTTATAAAGTATTGCACATGATTACTACAGGTGAATTCTATGAGCAAAGCCTGGAAACACAGGACCCTCAGGACTCTCTAAGGTCAGAATAACGACTGTGTCTTCCACTTGGGCAAACTGCACTATATCCATAGGGGGTCACAATGTGTGTTTTTTTTTATACAGAGCCCTGATGAAGGAGCGCCTGACTGCGGCCACAGAAGTGATTTTCTCGTTGTTTGAAAGAACAATACATGAGTATGAGGAGGAACTGAGCCGATCCAAAGAGGAGACCAACAGGACACAGGTGCTGCTGGACTCTGTGCTCCACCCGAGAGTCAAGCTGCTCCAGGCTGCAGAGACGAGATCTGATCCCGGACTGAACCATAATCCAAACCAGGAGATTCCAGGAACTTCACAGATGAAAGAGGAGCAAGGCGTCAAACAGGAGGAAGAACATCTGCCATTGTAAGACACATTATGGTATTAAGGTGTCTTCTTCTGAGGTGCACAAAGCTTTACTAAACCTTGACACCAGGAAAGCAGCTGGTCCAGATAAGTTGGACGCTTTGTTTTTAAAATTGGCAGCTGACTTCATTGCTGAGCCGCTGTCACAAATTTTTAATCTGAGTCTTACCAGTCACAAGATTCCTAAAGTGTGGAAATCTGCTTTCGTGCTGCCGCTCCTGAAAACAGGTGATCCATCTGACGTAAATAATTACCGTCCTATTTCCAAATTATGTGTTCTGGCTAAGATATTTGAATGTGCTGTTAGCAATCAGTTGCGATCCTTCCTTGAAGACAACAACATTGTTAATGAATTTCAATCGGGATTCAGGAAGAAGCACAGCACTGTTACAGCCACCATGAAAGTTTTAAATGACGTAGTAAGTGCCCTTGACTGCAAGAAATACTGTGCTGCCTTGTTTCTTGATCTTTCTAAGGCGTTTGACACTGTGGACCATAGGTCATTGATAAAAACTCTTTCCAAAATTGGCGTCTCCGTCCAAGCAGCCGAGTGGTTCACTGACTACCTGTCAAACAGGTCACAGTGTGTTCAAGTGTCTGGGTCAACTTCCTCCTTTTTAGAAGTGTCTAAGGGAGTACCACAAGGTTCAGTTTTAGGCCCTCTGTTGTTTTCAATTTATGTGAACAATCTGTGTGATGACCTCCAAAATGCTTCTTACCATCTTTATGCAGACGATACTGTTATTTATTGTTACTCCTCATCTTTAACAGAGGCCTACGAGCAACTACAAAATGCTTTTAACATTGTACAATCTCGTCTGCACTTCTTGAAACTAGTTTTGAATGCTAAAAAAACAAAACTGATGATCTTTTCAAATCAAAAAGAAAGAAAGGGGAGTATTCCTGGAATTTTCACTACTCAGGGTAAAGAGATTGAGTGTGTGGATAGTTCCAAGTATCTGGGATTTGTTATTGACTCTGGACTATCTTTTAAATTACACATTGCAGCTCTGGTCATAAAATTAAGGGTTAAGATAGGATTTTATTTCAGAAACAAGTCGTGTTTCACCCTTAGAGCCCGAAAACTATTTGTTTCTGCCACTTTTTTACCCTTAATTGATTATGGTGATGTTATTTATATGTCTGCATCAGCTCAGTGTCTGCAGTCGCTAAATTCTGTGTATCACAGTGCTTTGAGGTACGTGACAGGATGTAGTCGCCTCACACATCATTGTGAACTTTATGCTAAAGCCCAGTGGCCCTCACTGGCAGTGAGGAGGTACACGCACTGGATGCTGTTGGTGTACAAAGCTCTTCTCGGTTTGGTTCCTGTCTATCTGTGCTCCCTTCTTCAGAGAACCAAGAGCCTGTACAGTTTACGTTCCAATGATTCTTACCTTCTGACTGTTCCACGTGTCCGGACGGAGCTGGGAAAGCAGGCATTTAGGTATTCTGCTCCCGCTGCATGGAACAGTCTGCAGTCAGATCTGAAGTGGTCCAAATTGTTGTCTTTAAACGCATTTCGTTCACTTCTTTTAAAAAAACAGTTCTCAACCATTGCCAAGTGCTCATGCTTTTAAACTTTAACGTGTTATATAGTTGCCTTTAGTTTTTTATTTTTGATCATGTACATGTTTTGTAGTTTCACTGTTTGTACTTTGTAGTATTATTGTATTGTATTATTATTGTATTGTTTTACTGTTGCTCTGTAAAGTGCCTGTGACGTGTGCTACAGACCTCTTGGCCAGGACTCCCTTGAAAAAGAGATCTCGATCTCAATGGGTATTTTCCTGGTTAAATAAATCGCATCTCACTGCTGTTAGCCTCATGTTAATTTAAAGCCCCGCCACGATTTTGGCTCTTTGTAATGGGTCTCCAACAAAAATGAGGATAATTTTGGATTGTAGCCCACTATTCCTAGCTCTTAACTTGCTCAGTGTGATAGCGACAAATAGCAGCCTGGTCTTACCACACAGTCGTACAAATTTCATTTCATACTAAGGTCTGGATTGGTTCCATCGAGCTCCATTAACGGGTGGGAGGGGTTAACTCCTTTTGCATATTGAAATGATTGGATCTGAGTTTACCGTGAAGTATGTAATGCGCCCGAGTGAGCTAGCATTTAGCCTAGCATCTCCTTTGCCACTAACGGAGCCTGTGGGGAGTAGAGCCACAACATCTTTGCCAGCAATGAAATTTGCTAAACATTTTTCGTGCTCCGGCTTCTATTTCTTGATATTTGCTGCTGCTGAAAAGGTCCGGTCTCCGGTCTTGAAGGTGTGGGATTGGCAGACTGAGACGTTAGGTGTTTGTGGACCAGAGGGATCGTGATGTGGGGTGAGGAGGTCTTTCAGATTATCTGGAGCGTTGCCATGAATGCATTGGTGAGTGAGGAGACAGATTTTCTATTCTATACGGAGGTGTATGAATATAAACCACATATGCAAGTATGTGGTCGAACTTGCATGTCCTCGTCAGGACCAGTGGGGGAGGGTCCCAGCTCAAAAGTGGCCAAAATGACGTGCGCTGACATGCTTGCAATACCACCCCGGGCCGATGGGGGTGGACCCAGAGGTAGAATTAGCCAATGCTAACATATAGCATTGGCAGACCTCTCAAAAACGTCTTTACAGGATGGACCAAACGTTGGCTCTTTGCCCAAAGCTCCGTTCCACATGTGTGTCAATGCTGAGGGGGGTGGATTTTTTTGGTCCACTCTAGTTTACTTGCTGTGAATTTTTGAAGTCTCTCGTTCAAATGAATGGAGTTGCGCCGGCTGACGTATGCGCAGATGCGTTTTTTCACATTTTTCTTGTGGGCGGGACCACTCGCGGCCATTTTGGATTGCTCCAGTAGAGCAAATTTTTTGGCCCATTAGTTAGAACGGCGGAGATAGGCGTGACTCTGTCCGTTAATATATACAGTCTATGGTCAGGACCCTGGCAGCACTGTTCTGAGTATGCTGATGCTTTTGAAGGCTTCTGCAGGCTTCTGCCAGGGATCCAGACGAGGAGGGAATTACAATAGTCCAACCTGGAGGACATAAAGGCATGGACCAGCTTCTCAGCTTCACAGAGGGAAAGAGAGGGTCGGAGGGTCGGAGGGTCGAAGAGCAGTGTGGGGGGCCCCCCAGGGGACCGTCCTTGTGACTTCAGACACAACACAGATGGTTTCGCCCTACAAAGAACAGGTAGATAAGAAACAAAAATAAGTGTAGGCAGTTTTGAACAGGTGGGTTTTGAGTTTGGTTTTACAAGTTCTGAAGTGAGTTTGAGTTTGTGGGAGAGAGATCCAGAGAGTGGGGGCAGATGCAGCAAAGGCTCGGCCCTAAAGGCCCCTCAAGGCTTGGGCCCCCTGGGTAAAAAAAGTAAAATAATATAAATAAAATTGTATTTCATTCATGCCCTGAAATGGTTACCGACTCCACTCAATGATCAAACCCTATAGGTAAGTACTAGGAACTAGGAAAACACATTGTGAAGGCATATGGTTATTTATGAGCTATATAGAGTTTGATATATTTTTTTTTTTACCACTCACCACTATTAAGTTGCCAACCTTCCTTTTAGCTCTAAAACATGCTTTTTTTCATTTTTTTCAGGCCAGAGTTTTTTGCTGTTTGTGTGAAGACAGAGGAGTTGTCAGCGTATCAACAAACTGAGCACAAAGAAATCGAAACGCTAGGAGAAGACGTAAGCACAGAGCCTCATTTGCACCCAGAGACTGAGGGAGACACCTCTGATGATGAAGAAGTCTGGGGAGCTCCTTTCAGCTGCTCAGACGATGAAAACGACAGCTACCAGTCTGAGCCAGAGACCAGTGCTGCCTTAAACGAGTCAGGAACAGCTGAAGAGGCTGAAGGCAGTACGCAGTGTCCAGTGTGTAAAAAGATACTAAAAGGAAGAAAACGAAATATGAAAAGACACATGCTGATTCATACAGGAGAAAGACCATACAGCTGCTCAGTCTGCAATAAAACATTTAACCAGAAGAGCGTTTTAACCATTCACAAAAGGACGCACGCAGTCAACAAACCATTCAGCTGTTCCATCTGTAAGAAAGAGTTCACCCAAAGCGGAGGATTGAGATACCATATGAGTACACACACAGGGGAAAGGCCTTACAGCTGCTCGGTCTGCAACAAAAGATTTATGCAGAAGAGTCATTTAAACATTCACATAAGAACACATGCAGTCAATAAGCCATTCAGCTGTTCCATATGCCAGAAGGAGTTTGCCCAAAGCGGTGGATTGAGATATCATATGAGTAGTATGCACACAGGGGAAAAACCATTCAGCTGTTCAACTTGCAACAAAACCTTTATCTTGAAGTCAAATCTGGAAAGACATTTAAGGACTCAACCTGGGGAGTCAACGTTCAGCTGCTCCATTTGCAATGAAGATTTTGCGCAACGCTGCGGACTCAAATGCCACATGAAGCTACACATTGACCAAGAAATCAGCTGTCCAACATGTAATAAAGCGTTTACAAGCAAATCCAATCTGCGCGTACACTTAAGAATTCACACAGGAGAAAGACCTTACAGCTGTGCAGTTTGTGACAAAACATTTTCCCACGTGAAGAGCCTGAACGACCACAGAAGGACGCACACTGGGGAAAAACCGTTTGACTGTCCAATGTGCGGTAAAGCTTTCTCAACTACGTCTGGTCTACGCTCGCACATTAAGACACACACTGAGCGGCCTTTCAGCTGATCTATCTGAGCAAAACGCAAAAATCCAGTCTTAATAGTCACCGTAGAGACCCTTAAACTGAAAATGAAATGTGTCAGCTCAGAGTAGGGCTGGGCAATATAAACGGTATAAGCGGTATGCGATATAAATTTGGCCCACGGTAGAGATTTTTGTAATACCGGCATATTGCGATGGGTCATTATGTCATCAAATTGCGCAGGCTCTGACGCCAGCAGAGAGCACCAAAACAACTGGCATTCAGTAGCATTAGCCTAGCACATTAGCCTAGCACTATTAGCCTAGCAGACACCACTGGAAACAGCGAACAACAGCACGGCATTCACACAGTGTTTCTGTCTCTGTATTATTGTCACAGCGGCCCCAGCAGAGGTAAATACACACACAGCAATCACAAAGCGTCTACCTTTTGGCCAATCCGTGTCAAAGGGGCGTAGGCTTGAAGCGCCAGCGTGTGCCGTGTCCGCAGCATCATCACATCAGAAGTTTGGGAAAGTTAGCGTCAGATTTGGACCTCTGCGGTCAATAGCTCACGAAAGCTACTTTGTTAAACAAAATTAATTGTGCCAAAATGACCATTTACATCAATTGTTCGAATCCAATGCGCTGTTTTAATGCACATAAATCCATTGAATCATCCAGTTCACTGCAAGCGCCGAGAGGGAGCGTCAACAAATGTCAAGACCAGCTTTGTAAACGAACAATAGCTTTTACTTAAGCCATGTATACGCACAAAACTCTCAGACACTTTAAATAATGACCATGTCTAACTGCTACAGGCTTTGATTTCAACATTTGTTAAAAAAAATATATATATTTTAAATGAATACATATGTTTCTTTTTTATTTGCTTTTACAGTAAATGGTCTTTACTGTAACATACATAAATAATGTATGTTACAACATTTGTCTCACAACTATACTACAAATATATATACTAGTAACTAGATTATAATATATAAATAGATAGATAGATATATACTTTATTGATTCCTGAAGGAAATTGTGCACTTGTCCCTTGCTCGCAATCATACAACGATACATACATAGGTAAGAATTATAAGATGCAAAAGTTAAAAACGAGACAATAAATACATTAAAAACATTAAAAGAGAAGTTAAGGCACTGCAAAACAATTCTCAAGACACCCCACCCCCCTCCCTCCCCCCCCTGCTCCTCCCTGTAGTGGCTTTGTTATAGAGCCTGATGGGGTTGGGGACAAAAGAGTTTTTTAGTCTGTCCCTGGAGCACCTCAGAGAGAGGAGTCTGGAGCTCATGGTGCTTCTCTGGCGGGAAAAAAATGAATTCAGTGGGTGGCTCTGGTTGGACAAGATCACCCTGATCTTGGAGAGCGTTCTTTGCTCTACCACCTCCTCCACTGAATCCAGGCCCAGACCCAAGTAACAATCTTGACTATTTTATGCAAGAACCTGCTAGATCTATTGAAATTCACACACCAAATTATGCCGCAATATATACTGTCTACCGTCTGTGTCCCAAATTATACCGCAATATGAATTTCAGGCCATATCGCCCACCCCTAGCTCAGAGTAAAATATAAAGAATTGAAAATATTGTTTTTGTACCTGCAGCAATGCGACATTTACCGACCATAGGTGCTTATACAGAATGTATTATGCAGAGAAAGATGATGTTAAATATCCAGGAATGCAAAACAAAATATTATTATTGTATTTATGCAAAATTAAATCCACAGAACATTGTATGTAAGCTTGGTGCCTTTTGAAAAAGTTAATTCCTTAATTAAAAATAGTGTGTTGCTGTTCTGTGAATATCAGTCTTCGTTCTTCACACCATATATATGATTAAGAGCAGTAAAGAAAGAGAAACGGCGGGTCTACTTGTCGATACCCAATACCGATACTGCACATTGACTAAATGCAATACAATACAATTTATTCTTGAATAACCCTAAATCACAACAGAAGTCATCTCAGAGGACTTAACAAACCATTGAAATCACCAACACAGATCGGAGAATCAACAGTTAAGACACAAAAAGAATATAGAACACATGATAAAAATGTTCATTCATGTTGTAGAATGTTAAAGTGTCCTGGATCATCACCACATCCTTTTTGTTGGACACTAACTGTCCAACAGACCCTCCTGCAATGGCAAGGAAAAACAAAACAAAAACCCAGTGGGAAAAAAGTGAGAACCACATATTGTGAAAGGGATCTGCTCCACATGGACAGATGGGCTATAGATCCAGGACCTAAGTTACAGAATATGAGGGCTTGTTCACACTAAAGGGCACAAAAGTGTGACAAAAGGCCAAAAATTTGATTTTAATAATCAGATGATATTTTATGTTTTTCATGTTTCCAAGCACCTCCTCTGTCCATTAGAAGTTGCTAGAACATAACTGTTTTATACATTAGACAAGTTTCCTATAGCGGCCCTGTTTATTTTACGTAACGGACGTGATGATTTGACGGAATGGGCTTTGTGGAAGTTTGATAGGTATTTTCAGATGTCCACATTTGATTCAGAGATCCAATTTTTTTTACACAAAGTAGATGTCAAGCAATTAAATGTGAAAACAGACCAGATTTTTTTTTTCTCAAGTTTAATTTTTAGAGAAAAGAGGACCGTCCTCATCACGTCCGTTATACATTTTTCAGGGGTCATTTAATTAATTAATTTTTATTTTTTCACGATTCCTTTTTATATCAACTGATTTCCTTCTGTTGTGTTAACCATGTAAATCTTGTGGGATTTCATCTTCTGCCTTTTCAGACTGAGGACATTTTATTTTCTATGTAACTGGCGTCACAGTAGAATGGTCCAATCAGAGGCTCATTTGGTCGTTTAAAATGTTGCTAAACATTTTTATGTCAATCTTTCCTTTAGATTTTTTCCACACTATCTCTTCAATGTGTCTGTGTTTGAAATCTTTTTTCCAATCTATGAAAGTAATTTTAGTTTTTAAGTTATAACCTTTTAAAGTCCAGATACTTCAATTGTCACTTTACTGTGAACACACTCATGAACCAGCGGCTACTGAACGTGGACAGGTCCGCTGCAGGACTGAAGCACTCCCAGGTGGGTCGGGAAGGGCAGTCCGCAGGTGCAGATTGAGGAGGCCAGGCTCAGATGTCCCGTCGTTGTACCATGAAACAGACAATGGGACAACGGGTGAATAGCAATGAACAAACTACAGTCAAAATCCTAATGATGCAAAACAGATACTATACTTCTCCCAGCAAACTGACTCCCTATGCAGCTTGACTGACAGTCTAAGTTGTTAAGCCTTCCCTGAGTCTTACCTTCCTGACCATATGCTAAACCAAGGGCGTAGGTTTGCGTGGGGACATGTCCCCACCAATATTTGGTGAGGACTAAAAAGTCCCCACCAAAATGACATGATGTCCCGGGACCCGGACGGTCCGGGACACATGTCTTCCGTTTGTGCATACGTCGCGCCTCCTCCTCGCCTCCAGAGCAACAGCAGCAGCACGTGACCCGTTCCGTTCTCTGCAGTGATTGGCTGTCTTCTTCAGCGCCAAACTGAAGCACTGAGCGACTGTTTAATTTTTAAAAGTTAGCCAGCGTGAAGCAAGTGTTTTTCTTCGTTCCCTGAGCGTTGTAGCACGTGAGTAATCAGAGGAAAGTACTGTAGATCTATTACCATTCAAAGTACTTACGTTATTTCTAATCTGTCAGCGCACTGTTTAATGTTCCGAGGAGCTCACACGGCACAGAGACAGAACAGAACTGGCTCCAATAAAGAAACAGGTTGGTTGAAAGGCTGAAAAAATACTTATTGTGCTCTTACTATCCAAAATGTATAAGTGGGCGTGTTGTGTGAATCAGGATAAACTAGGGATGAAAATATTCCACGGATCCACGATTTACAACCTTTATCTGCTGATAATGTAATTTCTGTGAAATGTGTGACAGCGGGCACTTGCTGCTATTTGCTCTAAGCACATTCAAGCGATGCACTCGAATGTGCACGTCCTGGTGCAGCTGCTGCCGCTTTGTAATGACAGCCGCGGCGCTCAGTGAAAGCACAGCTCTAACATGGTACCGAGCTCGGACCATATGCAGACAGAACCATGTTGCAAGTGCGGGTCTCCCTCGTATCTCCCCCGTTTCTCCCCTGTGTCTCTGACATGTCTCTCCCCTGACTCTTCCCAAAGCGCAACCAGCGCTCCCGAAATTAAAGCTCGGATACCTAAATTTTCCATTGCGTTAACGATGCATGCTGGTTGTGCGCAAAACACACCACAACAGGTCATTTAAGTTTTTATTTTGCATACTTGAGAGCCCTGTGAGTCATTATGTTAGGATTTAGCAGACAGAGACGGATCGTGGTGTGCCAAACTCTGGAAGTTTATTTAAGTTTCTCTCAAGTTCCACTGGTTTACTCTGTTTCCTTCTCTCAGACAGAATAAAGGCAGTACACAGTTTATATAGTCATTGTCACGTCACACATCGAAAGACATACGTGTCACAAAGAGACAGTCACATCATAGTCATAACATGGAGTCCTTGTACAGTCCTGCACTTATG